GGATTTAAAAAAATGACTCAATCTTAGTAATGAAACATTACCTATTGAATTATCATATTCCATTCTGCCAATCTAATTTTATTCTTCTATATGTTAACATGTCAACCTTTAAAAGTTATATTTAATGATTACTATTGTGACTACTTTACTTTGCTTGAAAACTGCAAAGTTTCAAGGGTTGATGGTAAATGAGTGCATTATTGTTTGATATTTGAACAATGCGGGAACTTGTAGCTGGGGTATAGTATAAAAAACAATCTTTAAATTAACCAATATGGTATCAATGCTTAATTAGTGGTAGAAATAGAAACAAATCAAATGAACAAAATGTTTGTGAAATAATTACCCTTTCTATACTTCATACTGCTTCTGGTTTACTTGTGAAATCAAGTACATCATGATGATGCCATGTAGTTGTAACAACTTATTCATTATTGTTCTGGTTACCGTATATTGTTGTGTATGTGCTTGTATTCAATGAAAATGATGCCATACCTAAGAGAAAAATCATTTTAAAAGCACTGGAATATAGTCCTACATTCCTGCTCACCTGATTATGTTCAGGGATGCTATCATTATGCGGCGCGTGCCATTCCTAGTTCGGCAATTATGAGTGTTAATGATTAGCCTGTGTTATATGATGATTATTATGAGAATGTGTTTTCACATATTGAAGAGGATTTATGGCGAGCATTTGCTTACTGCAGCCCTCTTCTATTTGGAACATGTATGGACTGGCTGTTGTGGCGTTTCATTTCTTCATGATACATCTGACGAGACTCCTATTGCAGAGCAGACAACTCTGAGCTGAGCTTCGCTGCTCTTCCATACTCTGTTGTCCTGTGTCCTGACCTTTCATCGGCTCGGCTCCTCTGAGTGTCCTGCATGCTGGATCCATCACCGCATTCGTCATTCACCTTTGTCCCCTTGTACTCTTGTGTTCTGGGGAAACATAATGGGTTAATGGCCTTCCAGGGCCAACACTTCCCCAGGGCAAGGGTAATTGGTATTCGAAATTTGGTTTGGCCTTGTGCCCATCACGAAACTCAGGCGCCTGGTGTCACTAACATATGTCAATGTAGTCCTCTGGTTTATTCAAGTTTCTTCCTCCTTTCCATTTAAGGAATTTAAGAAAGTTCCAAGGGAACAAAAATCATCTGTAGGAGTTCCTGCTCTGGGGGCTCAAGCTGTAGGGCTTTTGGGCTGTGACTTGTACATGGACTTCTGGCCATATTATGTTTTATTCCTTGCTTTTCTGGCTCGAAAACACACCTACTGCCTGATAATTTCAATGAAGCCAAATTTATCACCTTTAGCATGCTGATATTCTGTGCAGTGTGGATCACTTTTATCCCAGCGTATGTCAGCTCTCCTGGTAAGTTCAGTGTTGCTGTAGAGATATTTGCTATTCTGGCTTCAAGTTTTGGACTGCTCATTTGTATTTTTATTCCAAAATGTTACATTATCTTACTGAAACCAGAAAAGAATACAAAAAAGAATATGATGGGGAAAGGGGCACAAAAATCATCCTGAAAACTTCAAATTATACAGTGGCAAAGTCATTCTAGTGCCTTCATAATTTTTTGCATGATTTATCAACTGAACTGTGAAGCAGACATCAGTTCCAGTTTACTGAAGATTTGCATTGTACTATTGCTGTACGACTGTATATCATTTAATTCAGGACATAGCATTTTGAGATGACAGCATTCAAATACAATGTCTTAAACAATGGAAAGGCAGGATTGCCTAGAAGGAAAATATATTTGCCCTTAACCAAAAGGTCACTGGTTCAATCATTATTATTTATTATTATTATTATTGGGGACTGATTCAAATCTACATTCCCCTCTATCTCTGTCTTTGAGGAGAGCACTGAACCTTAAATACTGCTTCAGTGGCACTATACTGCAGGTGACGTTCCTGATGTAATGCATTTGTGTAGGGGACTGTATATGTGAAAAGGATATACAAAAAGACTCTATATGTGTAAGGTATATATAAAAAGACAAATTTCAGAAATTGACCTTGTGTGCATTGGCAATAAAATCATCTTCTTCTTCTAACCATATCCACCAAACCATATGATCAAAATAAACATAAATGTACAACCCTAAGAACTGTGTCTTTGCTGATTTCAAAACCATTAATACATTTTATTAAATTATCATGAAAAAATATGAGGATGGGGAAGGGGGCACGTAAATCATTCTGAAAACCTATAACATGGTGGCAAAGGCAGTGTAGTATATTCATAATTTTTACATATTTTGTTAACAAGACTGTCAAGTTGACATCTACCCTTATTTTCTCGAAGACTTGTACTATATCATTTTATTCATGACATAGAATATTGTGATGACAGAAATTATGCAATCATATCAACAAACGTTGATTTCACAACATTAAATACAGTTTGTTAAATTATAAATTGAAAGAATAAAATTCACATTTTCACAGACAAAAAAAAATATCTGGCTTATTTTGTTTTGCTTTTACATTCCAACTTGTTGATTTTAATTACGCAATTTAATTACAATGTGGAAGTTGTGATGTGACGCTGAAGACATGAGACCATGGTGTAGTTAATTTACAACCCTTGAATGTTGGCTTTTTATTCTTTTAGGTTTTTACAAACATTCACACTTCAGAAATCATAAAAGTGGTGTTCATTTGTGAAGATTATCTTGCTGAACAAAATGTGCAAGTATCATAAACATTTGTTCACCACAGAGCTTACTTCCGGCCGTGGTGGTGGCTGCCCATCCCGTGTGGTTGGAGATATTTCATTATTGCGGTGATTGTGACAGTTTATTAGTTATAAGTTAGTTATAAGTTTAATTTATAAAGGTCCAGTGTGTCAAATTTAGGAGGATCTGTTAGCAGATATGCAATGCTAGTTTCACTGCCAATAAGTCAGTTCCCGATGTTGTATTTACATTCTATGGGGAACAGGCAATGGGAAAGCACAGGGACGCAGCTTCTAGTTGGAAGATGAGCATTGGTAGAGGACTACATTATGGATATCCAGTTTGGTGAATATAGTGGCACCTTGGAGTGGCTGAACTGATCATGGGAGTGAGTATTTTATTTTGGTTGAGGCCATTGTAGTCTATGCAAGGGCAAAGAGAATTTTGGCCTTAGAGGACAGGAAGCCAGGTGATGGCTGATCTGGCCACAGGCGATTCAAACTCTGCATTCATCACTGCTTGTGTGTTGTGTATTGGCCTATGTTTTCTTAAGTTGCAGTGCATTAAGGACTTTGGTACAGACAATGTTAGCAACTATCTGGTCAACTCTTTAGTAGCTAAACAGTTGGTTGAGACCAAAACAGAGCTAAAAGGACATTATACTCCAGTGAACACAAAAACAACTTCAGATGAATGTTAATATTGACTAAACATACAACAAAACATAACAGCCCACTCAAACACAACTGTAGAAACAAATGCAGCAGGTATGTAAAAAAATACCATAAAACTGCAATTAATAGCCCAGCCTTTTAGTTGCTTTAATCACCAATTTCCTATATGAGACAGGCGTTTAATTCCTTTGGCCCAAAACTCTTGCTCAGCAAATATGATAAATGCTATAAAATTGTTTATTTGAACCATTATGAATATTACTTGTTTAAAAATGGGTTTATTGAATACATATCAAATGAATGAATCATTAATTTCATCTTGCTCCAACAGACAGCTCATCCAGGCCAACCATATGCATAAAGACAGCCACATATCAAAACACTGGTAGCTTAACTTAGATGTTGTAGATAACAATCATAAGCATGCCTAACAACACAGTACAGGAAGAAGAGAAAGTTAGCAGACAATGACAAAATTCACATTCACATCTTGGATACATTTTTTTGAAAAAAAAGTTTAGTTTGTTTTGGATCCGTTATCCGCATATGGAATATAAACAATTCAAAGAATGGACACATATTCTGATCTAATTACCGCTTCAAAGGTAGGAAGTCAGCACTTTTTTAATCTCTCTTGTTTACAATACCGGTAAATCTGAATTGATTACACCTGGTTTCTATAAAATTAACTGAACAGTTGAATTGTATAGTATATAGCTGATCCAACAATGTGTAGCATGTCCATATTGACAAAGGTTTTAACATTTATATTTTTGTAGGCGATCTAAGCAGCTTAGAACTAGCTCAAGTTGGTGACCCATTGGGCTTTAAGAGATACATACAGAAGAACTTCTATAATTACAGACCCTGTGTTTAATTCAAACCTATGTTGTTTTTTGTTTTTTTAGTGTAGCCACACCAGACAAGTGAATAGGATCTGCGTTTCATGGTAAACAATCAGGCATGTGATTTTTCCACATAAATCCGGAATTTCTAATTTTCCGACCTGAAATTATAACGATCATGCAGATCCATGAAAAAATATACTTTATGGTCACACAAATGCACACATGGCAGATAGAGACCGTAGTGTAAACAACCCACCTCCACCCCAAACCAGAATTAGTGGAGGTTTGCGCTCTAGTTGACCCATATAACCTTTATAAACCTAATCCTTAATCCACATTACATTTGTTACTTGTAAATGTAAATCTGTTTTACAATTATAAATAAACAATAATGTGAGCCTCAATAATGTTAGTTAATTAACAAAAAGGAAAATCTTTTTTTTTACAGCCCAGAATATTCCAGTTAAAATATTTTAAATTGATTAAGGCTCAAAATTATTTTCCTAATAGGGCAATTCCCTCCTCTTGCCCCACCTTGTGGTTCCACAGAAAAAGCACATCACGTTTTTTTTTTTTTTGCTGCCCCAAACTGTATAAATAACAGTGCAAACATTTGATTTACATTAAGGTACATGTGATGCCGTGTGTAATGGTTTAGCTCTCTTAAACAGTATGACTTCTACTCAGAGGTGGCCAGAGCAGGGTTGGGCACTCTTACAGCTGTTGTTGGTAGTGTCTTTCTCTCAGGCTGAGGAGTCGGTGTGCAGGCGGATAGGAGATCCGGAGAACCCCCAGCTATTTAAGGATGGCGACATTATGTTGGGGGGAATCTTTTCTTTCCACAGCAGCTGGAAAAACAGACAGGATACCTACATGCACAAACCACTGCCACTGCAATGCACCAGGTATCTATTTAGATTTAAAATATTTAAGAAGAAGTGGGTAAAGATATAAAAGTGCAAGAAAGGTTATCAAACAAAGTATTAAAATAAGAAAATTACATTTGAATTGGTTACATTTACAACTATCTACAACTGTCCATATTAAGTTTGAATTTCAGAGGTTTCCAGTATGCCCAGGCTATGCTCTTTGCCAT